AAAAATTTATACATTTGGTTAAAAAATTACACGTTGGTTAAAAATGCTTTTGAAATACTGGTCGTGGAAAAATTGTGATCCCCGGTTTATTAATTTTAATATTTCGTATGAAAAAAATGGCTTATAAAAATATTGGAGTATTTTTTTATACTTCTTATATCAAAACGAAGCTTTCAAAGAATTGTAGATGCCATTTATTAATTCCAAATAGTTCACGAGATAAATATTTTAGTCTATAAAGGTACAAAATCGCTTTTTTCGCAGATTTTTTTATTTAAATGTATCAAGTTAATACAAACTGATATAAAAATTTTTTAGTTGTCCTTAATTTCTTAGAATTTAAATTGTGTCTTGATATTGTAGTGTTGTTATACGAACAAGAAGTCCGAAGAAACAAACTGTTTTTGAGAATATCATTTATTTTCGACGTTTCGGAACCTATATATGTTCCATCATATCTTCTCTTGCTTTTTATGTTATTTCTTGGTGTATTGGTGCTCATTTTGTGTAAAGTTGTGTTTTTTATGAAAATTTCTTGTTCGAAGCATAACACGAATACATACACACACAGATATATATATATATATATATATATATATATATATGTATATTAGGGTGGTCCTTAATATGAACATTTTCGAATTTCTTTGCTCCCAATGGCTGAAATGCTTTCAAGTTGATAAAAATAATCTAATAGTTTTAGCTCTTAATATTAGCATTTAGATATATATATTATTAACATATGCCATTAAGTAAATTCTTGCGCCACCTGTGACAGCATTTGTAAACTCAAATATTATGAGGCTTAAAAATATTTATAATTCACTTAACCTCTAATTAAATCCACGTGAGATGTTTAACGAAATATTTATTCATCATGGCATCAAAATTAATTTTGCAGCAAAATATTTATTTAATTGATGAAGTTGACACTCAAATTATCAGTAATAATATGCCATCAAAATTACAAGTGCTAAATGTCTGCTATCACAGATGGCGCAAGAGTTTACTTAATGACATATGTTAATAATAAATATATGATTTTTTTAATTGAAGTGCGGAGGGAACTTTATCTAAATGTTATTATTAAGAGCTAAAACTAATAGAGATTATTTTTTTAGGAAAGAAATTCGAAAATGTCCACATTAAGGACTACCCTAATGTATATGTATATGTGTGTGTGTATTGAAATATGACAAAAAATACATGTATGTTTTTGAAATCTGGATCTGAACAGCAACAATTTTCTATTAAATTTGATTTATTTAATAATTACCATTATTTTCAAATAATATCACTTAAAGAAATATTTTAAATTATTATTGCAAATTAAAATCTTTAAAAATTACTTAAACTTGCTTCATCACAATTATTTTGTCTAAACCAGTGTTTTCCAAACATATTTTCGAGATGTCGTAATAGTAATAAATTTTGATCTTCAACCCTAATAATATTCAATTAATATTTATAAAATTTGTACGCTTCCTATATATAAATTCTACTCTTTAACCCTTGACGACCTGTGTGTACGTGTGTCGCCTATTGAAGTTATCCAATGCTTCGAGAATTCTAACATGTTATTGTAATTTTTAATTTAAATACATTTTCAATGTATTGAAAACACTATCAAAGGTTAAAAATTGTGGACTATTCTATGTGATTTCTGAAATTTCATTTACCAACTTTAAAAAAATTGTCCTTTTGTTAAATTTGTTAATGATAAGAAAAATAAATAATATTTATATCTAGCTATCGGTTTAAATAATTCAAAACGAATGTTTTTGTATTGAATCTATTTTAAAGTTCCCTCCGTCTCAATAGATGGCTCTAGAGTGCAGGACGTGGACCTCGAGTTGGAAAACACTGGTTTATGTAATATTACCATTATATGGTTAGAACATCTACAGCACAAAAAGTACGGTTCGAAAAAATAAGAGAAAAAAATTAATAAGAAGAAATGCAAAAATAATATTTATAATTCAAGGGGCACAACTAGTGTAACCGCCTAAAAAAAGGTGATTTTTGGGAAATTATATTAAAAAAACTACTTTATCAATCATTTCAAAATTTTAGAAATATATTTATACATGTTTTAAGAATACATAGTAAAATTTTTGAAGAAAAAAATTAAATATTTTTTAAGTTATCGTCGATCTCCAACGGCGTGACAAAAAAAGGCCCTTCACTGCTGCAGTGATTCCGGCCTTTTACGTGGATGAAATTTTAAAAAAAATCGCGTTAAACTAGGTAATATTTTCTGTAAAATCAACTACGATGAAGAAAAAAAATCAATCATTGACAAAATCGTGGCGTTTTTTAAAAAAAAGTCGAATTTTACCCAAAATTTTGGTCGCTTTTGGCCTGCCAAAATTCGATTTTTGATCCGATCATAAAATCGATAGTTCATTTTACGGAGAACTATATATAGAACATGTAAAAAAAATTCGATAGTGATCGGATCATTTGTTTTTGAGTAATCATTGCAGCAAATTCGGAAAATGCTGTTTCGAGAAGAACGCGTTTAAAGATAAAATGATCGTTGTACTATATACTATATATACTACATATATAGTATATACTCTTTGAATGGCTGTGACTCAAAAACTATTCAAGATATCGATTTAAAATTTTGGTATGTTATTTTTATAACCTAACGAAATATGGAAAAATTGAAAATTCGATTTTTTGAAAATTTCACACTAGTTGTGCCCCTTAAAGATTTTTACACGTAAATCAACTAACGACTAACTATTAAATTTACTACAACAAATATAATTTCCATAATTATAATAAAATAAAAAAACTAATTAAGAGCAATAATGGAACACAAAAGTATTACTACCTCACCTAACAAAATTATCTAATTATACAAAGATATCTACATACAAACGACCGTAAACACGAGGTATACAATCGTTTCATCCTAAGCCAAGCAATCGACGATATGAACAAATAAAAATCCATCGTCGGAGTCTAAAGATGTCACTACCGTCAACGCGCTGTTGCCAGATCGTTGCAAATATTGCTCGAGACAAAACGATTGCACGCCCCGGGCGAAAATTGATTGTACCTAACAAATAATTAACGAAACCGGATTTAGAATTATGATAATTATTATTTATTAATGCTATTCAGATCTTAGTCCAGTCATTTGATGCAAAAAAAGGCTGTCGCCGGTACAGTACTCCGGGATTTCTGAAAATTGGTAATCTTATAGATTTCGAGGTGCTCTTTACGAAAATCAACTTTGCACCTCAAATTTGAACGGCAAGTTGTCGCTACATTGGAAAAATGACGTCAAACAACAGCTTTTTTAAAATATCTCCTTTCTGGCTTATTCTACGATAAAAGTATCTATGTACGAATTAAACTAGATAAAATTTCCTACAATTCTTTAGAAAACCGTTATTTTGTAAAATTGATAGTTTGAGAGTACGGCCGCCTCAAAGTCTTTGCTGCTCTCGCCGTAGTATCAAATCTCTCCATATATGACAGCACTTTAAACTTGACCATATTCTTTCTAATAAATAAATATTTTCAATGTTAAATTAAGCGAATAAGATATAGAAATTAAATAATTCAAATATTTTTCTGTTTTTTTGCTGATTTTTTAACACTTCAATGGCAAAGTAACTATAAGTAAGTAGTTTGAAGTGTTAAAAAATCAGCTTAAAAACTGGAAAATATTTGAATTATTTTATTTCTAGATCTTATTCACTTAATTTAACATTGAAAATATTTATTTATTAGAAGAAATGTGGTCAAGTTCAAAGTGCTGTCATATATGGAGAGATTTGATACTACGGCGAGAGCAGCAAAGACTTTGAGGCGGCCCTACTCTCAAACTATCAATTTTACAAAAAAACGATTTTCTAAAGAATTGTATGAAATTTTATCTAGTTTAATTCGTACATAGATACTTTTATCGTAGAATAAGCCAGAAAGGAGATATTTTAAAAAAGCTGTTGTTTGACGCCATTTTTCCAATATGGCGGCAACTTGCCGTTCAAATTTGAGGTGCAAAGTTGATTTTCGTAAAGAGCACCTCGAAATCCATAAGATTACCAATTTTCAGAATTCCCGGAGTACTGTACCGGCGAAACGACCAAATGACTGGACTATCTAGATGATGTCGACAAACCAACCACTAACCATGTAATTCGATTACGAGCTATCGGAAGAAGAGTGTGTGCCGTTGCCGATTCCATTCATTGGCCTGGACGGAAGCAAAAGATCCTGAATGTGGTGCACAATTAGCTCAATGGCCACTGCAACGACACAAAAAACCACCAACGAATCACACACGAGTGTAATAGACAATAGTTATATGACAAATAAATTTATAAATCATTTACACTTGATTCGAATCATCTTCGAGATGAAATTGATCACTGATGAGATTTCAATTCGTATGAGATTTATTATTTCCTACTTTGGCTAGACTCGAGCCTAAAGAAAATGTCTTTTTGCATAATCATGACAAAGTAATGCATCAGATTGTCCAACTGCTTCTATGTAGTACTTTTTAAGATATAACAGTAAGCCTCTGTTTGATACAATCAGATTATAAATCAAAGGTGCACCACATAGAAGCCATTAGTTTAAGAAAGTGAGGGAGCACTTTTTTTTTTAATTTCAACTGTATGCATTACGGTGGTCCTTATTATGAAAATTTTCGAATTTATTTGCTCCCATGGGCTTAAATGCTTACAAAATGATAAACATGAATTCCCTCAAAGTTTTAGCTCTTCAATTTAACTTTAAGATAGTCCGCACTCCAACCAAAGTTTCTTATGGAAATAACATGGGTAAAATTCCATTTGTTTTTTAGAATTTTATAACATAGCGACAAGTAATTCAAAATTTTGAGAATAACATTGTATTTGCTTATTTTGATCATAAATAAAAAAAATTACTTAGGACGAAGAACCAAGAAATTTTGGTTGGAGTGCGGACTATTTTAAAGTTAATATTAAGACTTAAAACTTTCAGAGAATTTTTAACTTCCCGTAGGGTAGTTATAGTAATGAGCCGAAAATCTAAAATAAAAATTTTTGCATTTCTCGACGTTTTGAAGGTTTCTGAACATTTTACTGGCATACCTAAAAAAAATGGATGTGTGTCTGTTTTGTATTTCCGCATTTTTTCGGGCGCACGGATCAATCGATTTGAATGGTTCAAAAAGCATTCGATTCCTATTGATAGGAAGATGTGCTGATAAGTTTTTGGCAAAAGCAGGTCCAGCAGTTATGGAGATACCCACCAAAGAGTGCAGAAAGTACAAATCAAGTTTTTGAGAGAACGGAGTATCGGATTTGAATGATCTAACAAACATTCGATTCGTATTGATGTGGAGAAATACTGATTAGTTTTTGGCAAAGGCCAGGTCCTGCCATTTCGAACATACAAAGCTAAATATGCAAAAAATGGCAGTTTTCGAGTGAACTAAGCGTCCGATTTGAATGATCTTAAAAACTTTCTGCTTGTATTGACAAAACAATTGCTTTTGAGGATAAAAAATTATTACATCTTTTTTTATTTTCCATAAAATATTTTTGTTGTAATTTTGGATTAAAAATTCAAAAAATTACCCAGGCTAAGCACAGTCTAAGCGCCACTCTGGTACAAATGTTTACCCAAGCGCGTTTAGACTGTTTATGTACTGGAACGATTTTCCAATTTTGTGAAAACTATTGAAAAATGTGGAAATGCCGCCAAGCCAAGCACAGTATAAAGGAAAATGTCACACAGAATTATTTGCAAATGCGTGACAATACGGGAGCACTTTTTCAATTTTATGTAAATTATTAGGCAACTATTTTTTTTTAAATTGAATTTGAAATGAAATGACGATTGTTAATGTTCTGGAGATAAATTGATTTATGATTTTCATTTGATTTGTTCAGATATAACAAGATAGCAAAAATAATAAAAGTTACAGTATTTATTTGTAATAATATATTTGACAACGTTTAAAATTTCTCCAATATTTCATTACGGTACGGGAAGTTCCAGCAATTTGCCCTAAGGCACGATGCCATACACCACTAGTTTTTTCATCACTTTGGAAGCATTTAAGCCTCTGGAAGCAAAGAATTTCGGAATATCCATATTAAAGACCATCATAGCATGCAAATATGTCTACTGGAATATACTCTTTCAATTTAACCCAAAACAAAAGAATTTCTTTTACTCATACTAAAACCATTTTTTTTTTGTTATACCCCAGAAAAATATTGTAATTTAGATAGCAACAAATTGCCAAACATCTCCACATGCTTCAAATAGAAATATAAACTTCCCACCAAGAAATTCTAACATAAAACTAATATACTAAACAATATAAGAAATCATTTTCTTGGATAGAACGTTTTATATTTTGACGTAGACAAATTAATAAACATGTGTTTAAAATATAATTATAGTCAACAAAATTAATGGGACAATTCTGCCGTAACAGAGCTTATAAAATAGCGTTGTCATGGCAACGCAAAAATGTTTATCAATTTTTATTTTTTTATATCACAAATGTTTATCTATTTGTCGTACGGTCAGGCGTATTTTACATATAAACAAAACCATCTATAATTCTGTTACCATAACATTATTTCTTGCTTGTTTATATTTAAAATACGCCTGATCGCACGGCAAATAGATAGACATTTTCATAATTTTCAATACCAAGAACAAGCATAAAAGAGCGTTGCCATGGCAACGCTATTTTATAAGCTCTGTTACAGCAGAATTGCCCCATAAATGACTATTCCAATACGTAGTAATTTTCAAATCCTCGACAGATCAACCATCATATCATAGCATTGCATTTTGTTAGTTTTCGAAGAAATAAATACAAGTGTAAAGTATAAATATAGGTACATATTCACAAAGAAACAAGAATATATTTTGTAACATTATTGAAAAGAGCACATAATAGCCATTATTAGATGTAAAACGTACGAAATTAAATTATAGCCCATTCAGATAAAATCAATCCCTTTCGCTACGAGTGTCGCCTATAAACGACATCAGAATGTTGAACATTTCTTCAATATGAGTTAAATTATTGAGAATTATAATTTGTTATTAGGCGACAACCGCTTGACGGCCTGTGTGTACGAGTGTCACCTGTAGACGACATCAATTGCGTCGAATCTTGTTTCAATATTTAACCCTCTATGTCAGATTATAGAGAATTCTAATCTGTGACCGAATTGTTTTAGTTTTTTTTTTTAATGAAAATCTCAATTTTTCCATTGATGATAATTGGGAAATCTTAAAACATGTGGAAAAATGTCTCGTAGCAAATGGTTTAAGGGGGTCTTCCTATGTGATGGGTTAAAAAAATCGATTTTTTTTTCATAAATTGCTCCCTAAACATGTCTAGAATACGGTAGTAAAGCGATTTTAGAAAATTCGAAGTCGTTTTAAAGATACAGCAGGTAAAAGAAAGAGCGGTTCGGAGCGCTGAGTTGGCAGTTAGAAACTTTAAACACGTTTTTCTCAAAACTGTGTTTTTAAACTTTCCTCCATTGTATCTCAGAAACGGCTGGACCGAATTACTTGAAATTTACAGGGCATAGTCAATATATTTAAACGCATGAACTATTATCAATCGGAAATTTTCAAAACTTCGATTTTTTTATAGCAAAAAACAAAAAAAAAAACGCCTAATTTGCAACTTTTATTTCAAATGTCTATCAAAAATCCATTTTTTTTTATATTCATTTGATTATAGGTCATTCCGTGCTTTTAAGCTTACAAATTAAAACGCCGTTTATTTTTTTTTTTCAGATAAGCCGATCAGCCGGAATCGTGGAGGAAGTGGGAGCTCTTTTTTTCGAGGCGGGGGTGTTCAGAGCGCTGTAACTCTAGTTTGACTGAATATTTTTAGCTGAAATTTTATATTTATACTGTCCAAATATGTGTTAATAAATGATAAAAAACTTGAAGCTCTAAATATTTACTGGTCGTAGAAAAAAAATCCTAAAATATCCATAAAAAACAGGCCGTCACATAGGAAGACCCCCTTAAGCATTAACTTCATTCAGTTTAGAATTTGTTAGATTTAAAGTTAAATAAAAAAAATTACAGAAAATTTAAAATTTTAAAAATTCTGACTAAAACTATTGTATGTCAATACATATGAGAATGGCTATAATTTAATAAGAATGATTTATGTTAAAAAGAATTGTCTGACACAGTAAATATAAATAAAAGTGGAAGTAAAAAAACTATGAGTGATTATCAAAATTGCAAATAAATCAAATCATTTTGCAAATCAAATTATTTCTGTTACAATGTTCAACTAATGGTTTTACAACACCTAAATAAAAAAGGTGTTGATCTTTGATAATCTATTTATCATCGCTCAGAATTTTCTACTTCATCAAGTTTGTAAAGTTAAGAATATCCTGTGTATAAAAATATTTAAGTCACTCACCGGTATTGTCAGCTCCTCGAGGAATTATGACATCAGCAAATTTCTTAGTCTGAAAAATAAATAGAATCAATTTAGACTGATTATAAAAAATTAATAATTGACTGTAAAAAGCAATTACTTTGTTCTATGTGGGTGCAATTGTCAGTTTTGTTTAAACAATATGTATAAATTAAAGTCTAATTTCAATCACAAAAAATTAAATATAATAAAACAAATCATGCAAAAGTAAGAATATGTTGGCAAATTTGTACAAAATTAAATAATCTGCAATCTAAACTATACTATCTAAACCGTAAAAAAAAACGTATCGTAAAAGATACGAAAAAACTTTGTTCGTACAAAAGATGCAGAATAAAATTACGAATAAAATGATATATAAATGGTTAAGTGTGTTCATATGATTTTCTCAAGATTTTCCGATTTTCCTGAAATTTTACGATAGCAACTCGCCTGTAGGCCACACCGTTCGGAATTCGAAGTTGCGATATATGGGAAAAAAACTAAGAATTTTGAGACCTTTCTAACGATGTATAATATTTATATGTATATGTTTTCTTTACAGAAAATGTATCTAAATTTATAATGTTCTACAGCAACTTGGTAAACTTATTATAAATCATTCATAAAATAATATATTGATTTATTAATGATTAAGTCAGTTTACACATGTCGGTTCACACATGTCAGAAATTTCATGCTATTTCTAATTGTTCTTACCGGTGAGCAAAATTCCTCAAATGCAGGTTTCACAAAATTCATATATTGATTGAGAACTTGATCCAAGTCTCGTCCTCTTTCATTTATATCTCTGGGAACTAAAATAAAAACAACAATCATTAAAAATTCTATAATAATCAAATGTTAAAAAGATAAAATGTTCTATAAATCTATAAATTAAATATATAAATTACTAACTAAGCACATAGTAGTTTTCAAATATTAAAAATATTTTTAATTATTAATTAACAAGAACAATATTCTATTAATCTTTCTTCTCTAATTTATAAGTAACTAATATAACAACTAAAAATGATATTTTTTAATTACTACCAAAATAATCATCCGCATATTGCATTAAAAAAATATAAATTTATTTAGTATGTTAAATTATAAAACAATTACCTCTTCTGGCCAAACGTGTATCAGAATCAGTATCCACAAACAATTTCATGTGGAACAAATCCCTTATTGCCGGAAAATAAAATACTAATATTCCCTCAAATAGTATTACATCAGCCGGATAAATCGTAACCATCCGCTCAGGACATCTGGAACAATATTCAATAAAATTATATATTTTCTATTATGATACTAAGCTTCTAATGTGATTTAAGCGTTACTTACAAGGAGTTTGTTTTATAATCATATGCCGGCAAATTACATCTCTGTCCGGCCAATACACCTTTCAGCGTATTCAACATCAGTTCTTCGTTAAATGCAGTTGGATGGTCAAAATTAAAGAGACCTTTGTCAGCCTTTACTTTCTCAGCTGGTGTCAGTTCTCGATAAAAACAATCTTGGCTTATGCAAACACCTGGAAAAAATATATAATTATCTGAAAAATCAAAACTAAAATAGAAAAATTTACAAGAGAAACATATATCAATGGAATTTTGTTATTTTTTATTTAAAAAAACAGCTTATTCGTCCCATTTAAAAAAACAAAAGTCTTTTAAATAAAATATTTTCAAAATATAAGATTTATATGCTCTGTTTTCATGATTTTAAATTATTTACTATTATTAGTAATTTTTTAAAGAATTGTAACAAATTGATCTTACAAACCTGTCGTTTGGTATGATCCATATCAGCTTGTCCCAACTGTTCCATTATCCGTTTACACACAGTCGACTGAAAAACATATAAAACAATTATAAACTTAACGAGGTAAGTACAATAATTTAGTATAATAAATAACTATAAATGTTACATCAAAACACTACTGTATGACCTTCCAAAGTAACTTTAGCAATACTAAAAGGACATATACACCTCTTGCTGATAGTCAACATTGTAAATGTTACAAGATTGAGGTTAGTTCAACCAAGACTTATTTCCTATATTGACATACCACTTTCAACACCAATTACATCAGCAAATAACATTTTATCACATAAATTTCATCACTATCCTCCATATTACAATTATCTTCTTACCTTTCCACTGGCCGTGCCGCCGGCCACCCCGATCAGAAAAGGAGTCTTTCCCTCGTGGGTCGAGCCATTTGAGACTCTGACATTATAATTAGTAGCATCGCTCATATTCACGCCGGCTAACAGTTCCTGATCGATCACCCTTTTAACCCTATCAACCATTATTTGTGCAAAAACATTCAAATGCGCAATTGCAATTTTTCGTCTAGCGCACTACAAAGAAAACTGTCAAATGAGAGAAGATGTGGGAGACGAGTGGAGTGAAGTTGGTTGAAGTACAAAAGTCGTGGTAAGGGTCAGAGCACATTGGCGCCTGGACTTGTTTGGAGTCCTGGATAATATTCTTTGAATATTTTATTACGGTATAGGAAGTTCCAGCAATTTGCCTTAAAGCACAATGCCATACATCACTAGTTCTTTATTTTACAAATAAGGAAGAATTCTTAAGCACATACATGACTTTGTCGGAAATAAAAAATCCTAGTGCGCTCGTAGCCTTACAATCTATCTGTCAAACTTTATCTTATCCTTATCTTGAAATAAATATTACAAGATCTTATTTATCGGAATAAACTATTAATATTAACTCCTTGTTTATAAAAACATGCAATTATTAATAATTACATTCATAAATAATAATTGGTTATGTTGTTTTACTGATGAAAGCTCGGGTTACAGATTTTCTGGGAATTCCCCATTTACTTAAGTGTTTCTTATTTGCACTGCTGAAGTGTCCCTCAGTCTCAAAAAGTTAACAAACAAGCACGTTTGGTGACTAATAAACACTCATATTAATTAATTTTCATTCTAAGTTCACGAAAAAATTAGTGGGTAAACATGGGTAAAAAGAAAGGAAAGGTATCTCATAAAATTCAAAATCCTAACCTCAAAAAAGATACTGAAATTAAAACCGAAAACAATAAATCTGGTGATAAAAATAGCACTGTATCGCAAGAAGTTACCTGTAATAATACTCAAAATGAAGATAAAAAGGTGGTGCAGGAATCTGATCAGATTTCCAATGAACCTCAAGAAAATATTGAGCCTGTAGCTGAATCCTGGGATGATATTACTGAAGTGCCTCCATTACGAAGACATGAGGTGACTCCATCATCAAGCGGTGCCACACAACATGAAAACTGGAGATCGTCTAAGGATAGACCAAAATTTAACGATTATGATTGGGATAATAAACCAAAAACTGAACATACGTCTAACCCAAACAGGTCTCTTGATATCGATTGTGAGAATACTGCATTAAAATTTTCTGAAGAATCTAAAGACTTGTTCACAGTTTCTGAAGACTACTCTCTATGTCATTGCGTTGCTGAAGACTTTACAATGGGTGCAGGTATTGCTGTACTGTTTCGTGATAAATTTGGACAAGTTGCAGAATTATTACAACAAAGACCGAAAACCGGTGGTTTTGCATACCTTAAGGATAAAAATAGATTCATATACTATTTAGTAACAAAACAGAGAAGTACTGGTAAACCTCGTATAGAAGATCTTGAATCATCATTGACACAAATGCGGGATCACATGTTGGAAAACAATGTGACTAAATTAGCTATGCCAAAAATTGGTTGTGGCTTAGACAGACTGCAATGGCATGATGTTTCCAGATTGATACGAAAGATATTTCACAACGATTCGTTAGATATCCTAGTATGTTCTGTAGACCAAACTGAGCCTACCGAGCCAAATGATATTACAAGTCCATCAAAGATACGCACGGTAATCAAACACCGTTTGTTTCCTCTATCCCAAATTGAAACGGAAACATTGCTTGTCTTCACAGTCTCAACACAAGGCGAAATAACACCTGAAATGGAAGAACTAGATAAAAAGTATCCTTTTATTATGGATTTTAAACGTTCAAAAAATCGCACTTTGGGAGATTATTACTTTATCCAAGTTAGAAACGAGTGGATTGTTGGATTGTACGTTAAACAGAAACCAAAGGACCCGTTTTTATATTTCCATTTCTATAAGGCTTTGCAAAAAGTTGTGAGAGAAAAAAAGAATATTAGATTTATAGGTATGGATTATATCGAGGATGAAAATGATGTGCTTTTAATGGATAAATATGTACGCTGTTTAAATTTTATTTTAAAAAAATGAAATACATATTGTAATAGCAAGGGCGTTGAAAGTACTTCTGAAAGTAAAATTTTGAAGTAGTACGATATTAGTATACTGACAATAATTGTATTATATGTTTATGAATTCTAAAACTGTATTAATAAATGGTATATTTTTATTTACTGAAGACCATGAAATAAAATTTATAATTACATACTTTAATTACTTGTTTTTGTTTTTAATTTTTAACTTCCCGTAGGGCAAGTTATAGTAATCGCAAAAAATCGAAAATGAAAATTTTTATATATCTTTACGTTTCAGAGGTTTCTGAACATTTTGGCATACCTTAGAAAAATGGATGTATGTGTGTGTGTGTGTGTGTGTGTATGTATGTATGTATGTACGTGTGTGTATGTATGTGCGGATACAAATTTCGTCGACGATTTCGGGAACACGGATCAACCGATTTGAATAATTCAAAAAACATTCGATTCGTATTGATAAGGAGACGTGCTGATTAGTTTTTGGCGAAGGCAGGTCCAGCCGTTCCGAAGGTACGGGGCAAAAGTGCCAAAAAGGGTAACTCAGTTTTGAAGAGAACGGAGCGTCCGATTTGAATAATTCAAAAAACATTTTACTTGTATTGACAAGATGTAGAATTGATCAATTTTCATGAAGGCAGGTCTAGCGGTTTCGGAGATCTAATGAAAAAGTAAAAAAAATGCCATTCGGCGGTTAAAAATAATCATTAGACATATGCACATCAAATTGTCAGATATTTTATAGAGATTTTAACAATAAGTATAATTTTTTTTTACATTTCTGTGGGTTCCGTACCAATGCTTATACATGCAGACGGCGGCGGGGCACCTGCGAGCTTTGACATTTCGTCTCTATGCAGTTCAAGCAGTGCGATTGCTTTGAAAAAAAGTTCAGAATTTTCAAAATATATCAAAATGAAGAAAACATTTTTTTTCAAAAATTTTTTTTGTTTTCAAAAAAAAAAAAAATTTCTCAAAAAAAATTTTTTTTTCAAAAGAAAGTATTTTTTTGTCAAATTTATAGTTTCTCAAAAATATTATTTTTTCGAAGTAATTTTTTTTCAAAAATGTTAATCGTTTTTAAAAAAATAATTTTTGGTACGGGAAGCTCCAGCACTTTGCCTTAAGGCAAGATGCCCTAATTGTCTTAAAACAGAATTCCACTTACAGCTAGTTTTTTTTTTGAATTGTTGATGTATTTTAGGAACTGATTTGAATGATTCAAAAAACATTAGATTAGTTTTTGGCCAAAAAATGCCATTTTCCGGTCCAACATAACCATTAGACATATGCACATCAAATTAGCACATATTTTATAGATATTTTAATAATAATAACAGATTTTGTTCACCTTTTTATGGGTTCCGTACCAATGTTTATTTGTTAGACTGAAACAAACCAAAACGAAATTGCTTTTAAAAAATCCTTGGCAAAAAAAAGTGAATCCTGGACCAATAATCCTTGTAGATAAAACAGGAACGCAAAATCAAAATCCTGGACTTAGACAAAATCAGAACTAAAAATAAAAAATATTACGAAAGAATTAAAATCGTATATCTTCCATTCCATTCCAAGAATTGCCCCATTAATTTATAAATTCTCATAACTCATCTGTAAAATACGAGTGATAAAATTTACAGCATTTATAACTCAAAAATATTTACAACAATTGATATTAATACCAATTAATAAAACGATTGTGAATTATTACTAATTGTAAGTATATTATAATAATATTTTTGACTTTTTCTACAACTTATATAATAAATCACAATTTGAAGACATTGGTTTATAATTCCATTACACATAACTAAATCAATCAAGAGTATCATATCTTATTATAATTATTTTATCTCATTTACACATAATTTACATTCTTTGGCTCAAATTGTTGATAAAAAACTAATCGAAAAATGAAATAAAATAGTCTATACCAAAATTTTAAGAAATAACTGGCTTGTATTATTATTAAAATTAACTAAATATATTTTTAAAAACTCACTGGGTCATCGTCCTAGTTCAGTTTCTTAAATTCACTGGTTTTTCGAAAATTGGTCCATCCTTGTGCCTAAAACTAGCTTCCTATTTAGGCACTATTATGTATTTCTCATCTTTCCTCCATTTATCGTAATAATAATAATAATATACTAATAAGCAAATATAATGTACAATTATAAATTTAATCGCAGACATTTATACTTGTTTGGCAATATTGATGCTAAAACATAAGGCATAAATAATTAATTATACATATATTAATTTATGAGTGGACCTTATCTCATATTTCTAAGAATTGTTGAGAATAACCCATAAATTACTTTTTTTGCGAACTAAATTGTAAACTTTAAATTATTTATTCATTTATAGGGTGGTCTTTAATATGGACGTTTACAAATTTCTTTGGTCCCAAGGGCTCAAATGCTTCCAAATTAATTTAAAAAAAATCTCTAAAAGTTTTAGCTCTTAATATTAACATTTAGTTTCGCAATTCAATTAAAAGTTTCTTTATTAACATATGTCTCTAAGTAAATTCTTGCGCCATCTATTTTATTTTAATACGTATTTCAATGATATAATATATGTTAATACGTATTAAGTTCGTCGAGACCTTTTATTTGACACCCCACATGCCTATATTTGAAGTAAAACTTCTTAGCTCACATTTGGCACCGAGTTGCTGAACACGATGTCAAATGTGAGCTAAGAAGTTTTACTTCAAATATAGGCATGTGGGATATCAGATGAAAGGTCTCGACGTGCACTATTCGAATATCATGGTAATGGTCACGTGACTGCAATAAGATTCCATATTTGATATATTGCCGTAATATAGTTGTAATCTATTACGGCAAACCGAGTTGCCGTAGAGCTTAAATTGTTAGATAGTATCATAATTTATTCAATTTTATTCAAATTCGTCGAATATTTCACCTCTCTACGACAAATAGTTCAAAAGTTACAAGAGATATAATAAAAACATGAGTTGCAGAACACGATGTCAAATGTGAGCTAAGAAGTTTTACTTCAAATATAGGCATGTGGGGTATCAAATGAAAGGTCTCGACGTGCACTATTAGAATATCTTGGTAATGGTCACGTGACTGCAATAACATTCCGTATTTGATATATAGACTTGCAAACCGAGTTGCCATAGAGCTTAAATTGTTAGATAGTATCATCGATTATTTAATTTTGTTCAAATTCGTCGAATATTTCACTTCTCTACGACAAATAGTTCAAAAGTTACAAGAGATATAATAAAAAGACGACCAGTGAGTTGGTGAACACGGTGCCAAATGTGAGCTAAGAAGTTTTACTTCAAATATAGGCATGTCGGGTATCAAATGAAAAGTCTCGACGTGCACTATTCGAATATCATGGTAATGGTCACGTGACAGCAATGGGGTTCTGTATTTAATATGTAGACTTGCAAACCGAGTTGCCGTAGAGCTTAAATTGTTAGATAGTATCATAGATTATTTAATTTTGTTCAAATTCGTCAAATATTTCACTTCTCTATGACAAATAGTTCAAAAGTTACAAGAGATATAATAAAAACATGACCAGTGAGTTGCTGAACACGGTGTCTAATGTGAGCTAAGAAGTTTTACTTCACATATAGGCATGCAGGGTATCTAATGAAAGGTCTCGACGTGCATCATTAGAATATCTTGGTAATGGTCACGTGACTGCAATAAGATTCCGTATTTGATATAAAGACTTGCAAACCGAGTTGCCGTAGAGCTTAAATTGTTAGATAGTATCATAGATTATTTAATTTTGTTCAAATTCGTCGAATATTTCACTTCTCTACGACAAATAGTTCAAAAGTTACAAGATATAATAAAAAGACGACCAGTGAATTGCCGAACTCGGTGTCAAATGTGAGCTAAGAAGTTTTACTTCAAATATAGGCATGTGGGGTATCAAATGAAAGGTCTCGACGTGCACTATTCGAATATCATGGTGATGGTCACGTGACAGCAATGGGGTTCTGTATTTTATATCTAGACTTGCAAACCGAGTTACCGTAGAGCTTAAATTATTAGATAGTATCATATATTATTTAATTTTGTTCAAATTCTTCGAATATTTCACTTCTCTACGACAAATAGTTCAAAAGTTACAAGACGACCAGTGAGTTGCCGAACACGGTGTCAAATGTGAGCTAAGAAGTTTTACTTCAAATATAGGCATGTGGGGTATCTAATGATAGGTCTCGACGAACTTTATACGTATTAACAGACGGCGCAAGTATTTACTTAGAGACATATGTTAATAAAGAAACTTTTAATTGAATTGCGGACTACCTAAATGTTAATATTAAGAGCTAAAACTTTTAGATATATTTTTTTTATTAATTCCAAAGCATTTGAGCCCTTGGGAGCAAAGAAATTCGAAAATGTCCATATTAAGGACCACCCTAACCTATATATATATATATATATATATATATATATATATATATATAATTAATAATGGAGTTGAAAAAAACACTACAACGTCTTTTTTACAAACATCAATACTGCCACAAATAATAAAATCATTTGTACTAAAAATCCTACTTAAAATCTAAACTAATATCCTTCCGGAAAATTTATACTAATGTCATTCAATATTAGAATTAACCAAATATACAATTTTACACAATAATTAATTAATTAATATATATATATACAATTATCTTACATTAAAAACGATAACAATTTTCATTAGAAAAGTGTGTTCTGAAACTTGCATATAAATAGGTACATATAAAAATATTCTATTCAATTATGAAAGCTATTATTTAATTATTATTATTATTATTATTATATCGGTTATATTAAATATAATACGAATACTATATGGATACGTCCAAAAGTTTCATCATAATTATTATTATTTATAATTATTAAGCATATTCAGATTCAGAGTCTTCTAATTCATTTTCAGACAAAGCCCTTCTTGTACTCGATGTACTCTGAAATAACCGAAATATAAATAATAATTGATATATATATATATATAATATATATATATATATATATACATACATATATATATTATATATATACATATATATATATTATATATATACATATATATATTATATATATATACATATATATTATATATATACATATATATATATATTATATATATACATATATATATTATATATATACATATATATTATATATATATATATATTATATATATATATTGTTGG